CGTCTTGGTGTGTGGTGCGAGACGGGAGATGTAGTTCATTGAGCGGTTTCGCACAGAAAAAGTGTTACTTCACAGTTTTACGACACATTTGTCTTTTTTTACTTGCAAAATTATCTTTTAAATTGACAAACATCATATGTGTAATTCGTGGCACAATTCAAACGGGATTTCTCTCTCCATTGACTTCAATACATAATTTTTCCGAAATAAGGTCCCCTGGAGGTCCACCGGAAGGGGAGGGACTTCGCCTCTCTATTATAAGTAGGCTACTTCAGGCACCTTCACTCAAAACAATTCATTTGTTGTTGTAAACCCTGGCTTCTAATTAACTGATACTTCAAAATAACCAGTAAGAAACATATTTTGTAAACAAAAAGCACGGCTATTAAAATGTAGTGTAGGCTACAGACCAAATGTTGGTATCCACAACTATCATACTTACGCCTGCTGTTCCCCAATTTATATGTTGTCTTTTATTGCAGCCAAATAAACTAAATGTGGATGGAATGTTTATTATTATTATTAGCCTGCCGGGCAAGTAACCACTGCAAAAAATAGTTAGCATGAGTTTTGGTATTGATAATCCTCTGCAAAAACCCAAATTGATATGTGTATGATATTGATAAAGACAACGTTATTGCAACATACACACACATTTCAATTCTTGTTCTTGATTTTGAAAGCATCACAAGGCTGAAGGCTTTCAATCTTCTAAAGCGGTAAAGTAAAACTATTTTGACAAAATACATCCTATGGTTTCTATGATGAAAAGAAGCCCATCCCTTAAAACATGTCCACCTTCATATACACATGCTGACGCAGTCACACACACAGTGTATACACACTGTCACATGGAAGAAGATCATTTATCTCTGCGGTTCTCACCATGAAAGACATCTATGGGTGAAGCATGGTCTCCCAGGGCTTTGTTATGGGCAGGGTTCGGCTCTTTGTGTGCGCCACCTTCAAAGCAAATGTACATGAACACGAACATGAGGCTTCTTGGGTAACCGGCCCATTGAAGAGCAGCACAATGTGCTACAATTATCCGCCGTGCTCAATGCTTCTGCGGAATCAGTTACATGGCTTTGTTTGTGTTTGTGTGGTTTGGTGTGTGTGTGTGAGTGTGTGTTTGCATGTTTGAGGATGTAAAGTTTCATGTGTGTGCATAGCTTTCTGTTCATATCATTCTATATTAATTTGTGTTTGGGTCCATCGGTGTTTCACCCCTATCATCTTGTAAATCATTTCCCTGAAACGTATCTTTTATCTTGGTGTGATGTTTTACCCTTCCTTTTTATTCTCATATTACAATATTAAGTTAAAAATATCTTCTATATTTTGATCTTGTGCTCTTTCAGCTTTCATTTTCGTTTACCTTGTGTCATTTTCTCAATTTACTTTCTGCAATGGGTGTGTGTGTGTGTGCATGTCTTGTATTTTTGTGTAAGTGTGTGTAGGTTACTTATATCTCCCAGTAGGAAACACCTTAACTGCAAGGCTATACAGTATACTCCCTTTTGATTGTGTGATCTCAAGCAGGGTCAGGTTACCGAGAGCGTTCAGGCGGCCCTCCTCAGCTGAGGAAGAGATCTTCCCTCTGACTGACTCTGCACACATCAAAAAAGCAACCTGTAGGAGCTTCGGATGTGATTTAGCTGGAGGTGCTTCTCCATCTTTTTCACACCCTGGAACATGAGAGGTGTGTGAGAGGGTCAGAGTGCAGACAGGTAGGTTGTTCATGTGTGTATGTCCTCAAACACAGGTGAGTATTCCTGGGTGGGTCTCCACAATCTACACACCCACCTACAAACTGAAATGTGTCATTTTCCCCACACGTAACCTCAGCTGGCCTTCTGTCAGATTCGCACATGAATGTACGAGAACACACCCCATATGTCACTTTGATAAGGAACCAGTTTTGTGCGTGCACACAAAAATGTAATAATTAAATAAGTTAATACTCTAATTAAAACCAAATAGGAAACAACATTTGAATTCATAGGTGAATCAGTCACATTCCAGTTTTAAATAAAGAGAACTCTCAAATTGTACCTACAGGTGCATGGACAAGGGGTGGAAAAAATGCCAAACAAAAGACTCCTTACACACTGTCCTCTTCAGTTGCAGAAGTGAAACTTTATAAAAAATATCTCTGAATATCTCTGCAGCTGATGAGGACAGTGTGCTGGGGTAATTTGTTCAACATTGTTTTCTATAAATCTTAGCTAAAGTGTTTGTGAACTTCTTATGAAACCCACTGTACTATGAATAATTGGCTTGGAGAATTGGTATGGTGTTGCATGATCGCTCGCAAAAGGGTATGAACACACACCAACGGCCTGTTTGAGAAGGAGGAAACTCAAGTGCCCACTTTTGAATCTTCTGCATTTATGTTGGTGCAATGGTTGAAATCAGAATATTTTATAACAGAGGAGGATTCTCTTTCCTCTCCTTTCTCACTAAATCTTGCTAGTTTTGCCCCTCACCTGTTAAGTTAACTACATCTCTCCTCTCCTTTCCTCTCTTGTCCTCCCCAGGCCTATTGTACAGTTGCCCCCGCGGATCTCCTTTCAGCTAGCTGCCCTACTCAGGTGAGGGATACAGTATATTGAAGGAGATGTTGCTTGTATTTGATTCCGCTTCTTTTCATAGTGGCTGAAAGCCTGGCCTCCATCCTGCCCCCCCTCTCCCTCCCTGTCCTGTCCAGTTCCCAGGGGACCCCCACTCTCTCCCTGGCTGGCCTGGGTGGAGCGGCCTCAGAATGGGGCAAGTTGGGATCAGACAAGGGTATCGCTTACAGCCTCCCTCCCGCACTCACACAGAAAACCGAGCACAGACAGCGACAGCGCACCCCCCAACCTTGCCTGTCTCCGTCTCACAGGTGCACATACACACACAGTGCCGTCGGTGCACGCTCACAAGTACTTGCACATGCACATCTTTTCCTCCATCTTACCAATTAGAGATACATGTACTATCGCACTCCCCCCCCCCTTCTTTTCAATCTGTCCCTTGAACAAGTGATTCAGGAAAGAGGCAGTGCACAATGAGTTTGTGGAAAGCCATTTCTGAGCACTGAAAAGCAAGCAATTGAGATTTGGAGACTGAGAGCGACACGGGAGTTTAGATGGAAAATGGCACAAGTGCATTTGCAAGGACAAAAACTTGATGCATACACATCGATCAGATAACATCCTGGTCAATCCTGCAGCATTAAAATTAGACAATGCCAAAGTCTAACTTTCTGGCTTCAAGTTCAACTGGTTCACTGATTCAATCCCAAAAGTCTCAGGAATTTCCCTTAGAAAGTTAGGCCTGGACTGTTTTTACAATAGTTTTTAATGAACTGCAATTGAAAAGGCAAGACAGGATATACAGTATTGTAATGAAACATTTTGATATGTCCATATTCGGGGATCACCTGTGACTTGAACTTTTAAAGCAACATTTTTTTTTGACATTAACTGCCTTAACAATCTGTTTAACAGGTGTTTATAATATTTGCTGAATTATCTTGTTAAACTCTAGCTGTCCCCACTGTCAAAACTATAAACAGCTACTGAAATGATGATAACATATAATTGCTGTGTATTTAGGGTTAACCAATTATGTTTGGACAGTTATTGCCTGTTTATCAGTGCCCTGAGTTACCAGAGTCTTGAGGAAAAGCCCACCCAACTGCAAACATCACCCACCATAGGAGAGGTCATATCATGTATTTCTCCATGGTCTCCTTACGCTCAACAATAGCTGCAAGGCACTTTCAGGAACAACAAGCCCCCTGCTATAGATTAAGACAACAGCACACTACTTCCCGCAGTGAAGGAATTGGATTAACACCGAGCTTTGTCAATAGACAGGAAATGTAACAGTGGGTGTATGAACCTCAAAAATAACTTAGATACCTTCACTCAGGGTTTCATTCATCAAGAGCTGCTTAAAATTGTTATTGTATAAAGTGTAATCACAATATTTCTTAATCATTAAAACACAATTCATTGTTTGGTTTTTGAATGGAAATGCCAGCTCTAAAGTTTATATTGGGTGAGAAAGACTTCTTTTATGGTCCTTTATCCATTTCAGTATGCTGTATTTGTTGTCTGTTGGTTGGTTATGCCTGTGGGGCATCTTTAAGCGTAAAGGACCCTCACTGAGATACAAGATCCCAGCAGGATAACACAGCTAATATAGCCAGACATTTCCTACTGCTGTAACGGATTAGCAAGCCTCTCTGCAGGGAAACACAAACACATAGACAATAGTCGTTTGACTGACTATACGAGATCAGGCTCATATTCCACCTGTGGCATTCACTATTCCTTTTAATTAGTTATGTTCTCTTTCTCTGTTCATTTAATTGTATTTCCCTATTGCATAAATACTTATTTCAGTGTCATTAAAAGTGATTAATTAGACTTTTTATTTTTTATTTTGTGGATTTTTGGACTAAATTTCTTTCCGACCATCAAATTACAGGCTGTGAACCATAAAGTGGTGAAATCAAATAAATCACCCTGTGGTTAAAGTCAAATGTGCCACTGAAATGCTAATCTATTTTCATTGTAAACGCGAGAAATGTCCAAGCTCATGGATTCTTGTTTGTTTGTAGCTGATTTGACTGTCCTTATCTTCCTCCTCCTCCTCCCAGATTAGTGCTGCACTCTGACTGTTTTCACACCGTTAAGGCCAATCCACATCCTCTTCTGTGGAGGGAGCGCAGGCTCCCCTGGAGATCAGTGACGCCTCACTGACCACATCAATCAATCATTCTCCCTCTGACTACCTCTCTCCCACTCCCTTTTGTGTCTCTCTGTATGTCTCTGTCTCCATATCTCTCTGTCTCGCCTTCACAACTTTAATATCTGTCTCATTCCTCTTTCCCACACATGACATGGGAACTACTTATCATAAAAACACAGAAAAATGTTGTTGCAGAGAGCAATACTTTCACAGGAGTCTGTCTTGGAAGCTTCTGGCAGAGGACTTTTAACTATTAACAAGTAGCTGTTCTTTAAAAAAACAAAACATTAATAGATAATTCACATTTTAGTTTTAAAATGATTGACCTGTAGACATTGCTGTCTTCGGCTCTGTTCATTTGCTAATTATCTGATATATCCTGTATTTTGTACAGGTGAATCTTTCATGCCACAGAAAGTTGTTTGACTTGCAAATGTCTGCCTCAGGCAGCCATTCATCTTACAGTCTTCCAGAAAACTCTATACTTATCCTAATAATGGGGTCAACTACGCAAAATGTGAGAGAAGTGAGGCAACAATAGAGATCGGTTGAACTTGTGCTCCTTGTATAGCAAAGGGTTTTTGTCCATACATTGCCCTCATGGGAGGTAATGTACTGTGACACAAAATACAGGCCACATATGTGTGTCCCTTATACTGCGATCATTATATGGACCTTTTCAGTCCTTTTGTGAAAGGCTTGGTTCAGTTAAAGTTCACTATGGACCCTCAAGCTAAGAGTGTAGTTGAGGTTACCATTGGGAGGGGGAATAACACACGTTCTGTATATGTCCACTTCTCTTTCTGTCTGCCTATATCTGTGTATGATAAGTCTTGTGATGGCCTATATTTTCAGTCAAAAAGTCCAGTAAAATACAAAACCAACAGTGAATTTGTCCTATTAAAGTATTGTCTGTGAAGCCAAATCACAATTTGTCTGCCACAGTGCTCCATTATTGTTAAAAATTGCAACCCACTGCCATAAATGACTGCCCTCACTCCACAATCTAATCGGCATAAAACAGTCCCCCGAAAATGTATAGACTGTATTTGTGACCACTAAAATGTAAGTGGGATCAAATCAACCCGGGGCTTAAATGTTTGGAAGTTTGGAAAGTATTGTAAAAGTGGACCAACACCTTATGGTTTTGTTCCTCTTGCCTGATCTCTCGACAATAAGAACAGTGTCGATTATAACTCCAGCCTTACCCTTTAAATGTGCCTCTGTTCAAGTTGGCGCGTTCATAGATATGCCAATCTGGTTGTCTATAAGTCTGCATTCCCAGTTTTACTTTTCTGCCTTTTAGCAAACGTTGCTTCTGGAGTCTTAACCTCCAGCATCCCTACAACCTGTCACACTGTCTCTAACCTGTCTGTGTGCACACCATCTTGTCTGCTACCCAGTGTGCCTTTCTCAGTCTATATGTCTGCCAGCAGGGGAAAGGTCAGTACCCAATGGGCCGGGTGCAAACAATGCCCTCAGTACCCAGACAGGGACAGCTAGTGTCCCATTGCGGACATGCTGCATGTGATGTGTGGCAACCCCCCCTTTCATCTCTCCCTCTTCCTCATCTCTGCTCTTGCTGTTTCTTTCTTCTCTTTTATGCCACCCCTTTCTGCTCTCCACCTCCTTTTTTGTTCTACTTTTGGCCACTTCTCACTTTTTTTTCTCTACCTTGTTGTCTGTCCTTTCCTGCCTTCCTTTCCTCCTTTCCCCATCAGTCCCCATCAGGAGGAACCTAATAGGAAATCAAAGTTTCTGGTGGAAGAATGGAGTGGGGCTTAGCATTACCATCCCCTGGGTCCTCCCTGCTGAAAGAGAAGGGCAGAAAAGACTCCACACTGGCACTGTGGAGGGGAAGGTTAATGCAGCAGATAGTCTTTCCCTTACTCCCCTTCCGTTTGTCTTTATCCATTATTTTCTCTCTCAGACACACACACACTCTCCCTATCTTTTAATTCATACTCCCTCCACACACATACGCACACACACTCACAAGGCACATGCACTTTTCCACTCACTGAGCAAATGAAATAGCAGGTGAACTCAGCTGCCCCTTGCTGAATGGTGTTTAGCTGGGTCGGATTTGCAGCCTGCTGCTGCACCATGCGTCCTTTGGGATGCGGTGTGTATGGTTGTGGAATGGACTGTGTGTGTGTGTGTGTGTGTGTGTGTGTGTGTGTGTGTGTGTGTGTGTGTGTGTGTGTGTGTGTGTGTGTCACCCCCAGTCCGGCACGGCACGCACCCCTGCCCTTCAAAGCACTGCCTATGTGTAGCAATTGACTCCACGGCCCCTGTGAGCTCAGGTACGGCTGCCTTGTCAAGCATGGCAAGAAGCATTTACAAAGGCTGTCCCTGAGCATTCCATACAACATTATATTTCCCATAATGAGAAACATCATTATGGGAATGATGTTTGGGAATCACAGTGATATTTCATATTGAATATAAATCATTGTAATCGTGGCAACACAATAGTGTTAGATAGATAGTGTTTCAAAGCCTTTTATGCTTAAACGTTGTCTTGGAAAAAAATTATCTTTGTATTAAGGTAAGATTACAGTTAGAAGAGAAAGAACAGAATCCATACTACAAATATATTAAGATTAAACATATTGTTATATCCATTTGTGGAAGCAACATACACATTTTTTAATTCAATGATTCATTTTCAGCATTTATAAATGAGAAGATGACTTGCTTTCTAACAATTCTTACATTTGAAAACTTTACTGAATACATTTAGTTGTTAGAAGGACATGGTCCTCCTGCAGTGCCCCTAACCATCAAGGGGTGTCTTGGTGGTCTTTTTGTATGTTCTTTCTCTTTTTGCGTGCCCAAGCTTAAAAGAGTAACCCTTACCTAAATTGAGTAACGTTGACATTTCTAAAGCTTGTAGGTAGAAGGTGTTTGGAATGATTTAGCAGACACTTATGCATGTAGGGCGCCACACATATAGACTGTCGGAAAGCATCACGTAAAAGTACGGGCTTAACATTGGTCTTGTATTAGCTAAAGTATCAGCCTATACTGTAGGCTGAGCAGTGACGGGCCTGCTGTGTTAAGCTGCTTGAACACTCCGAGGTGGAAAAGATTAAACAGCGTGAATGCCTTGGGGCACGAGGGAGCGCTGGAGGAGAGGGCAGGCAGGGTAGAGAGCTGTATGGAACAGGGTGGGGCAAAGGAGGCAGAGCAGGAGGGGGTGGCAAAAGATAAAAAACACATTATTTACAAAGGAGTCAGGACAGAAAACCATGAAAAATGGGTAAGACTGAGAAAGAGATGATGCTGTTACTGAATGCAGATTAATATAAAATAAATTCCAACCACCCAAATTTCCTACTTTCTGGTCCCTTCATAGCTCCCCTCTGCTGCCTCTTCACCCGCCCTCTGTACTCCCCCACAGACGAGTTCAGATTCTTGGAAGGTGTTGGGTGTCTACAGTGTCACAACTAAACAAAACCATTTGAAAACAAAGTGGGCCGGTGAATGTGCCGGCGCAATCCGACCCCTTTCCCTTTGTGGCCGTAGAGAAAAACGGCCTCTCAGAATCAAGGGGATTGAGGGCAGGCAGGGGGAGGCACACCATTTCAATCCACAGGTTACCCCCCTATCCACCCACCCAGACCCGCTTTTACGGCCTCCTCTCCACCCCACACACACCCACACTTTTAAGTGCACCCTTCAAAGGTGAACCTGCTATCTGAAACAGAGCTGTCCATGTCATAGTACTTCCAAGAACAAGATACTCCCTGTTTTTCTATTTAAGCCACTTTCTTTTGCTCTTTCCCTTATCACATTTGAAACATTGTAATTTTCTTGCAATGATCTGAGTACAATTGGCAAAAGTCAAATATTTGCCAATCTGAGTTGTTTGGACCTTTTTAGAAGTGGTTATTAAAGAACGTAACGAGAACCAATCAAATATCAAAATTGATAGTTTGACATGAAAATAGGGTTAAAATGAATACGTATGAGTAAGTGACAACATGTGACATTTGTATGACAGGGTGATGAGGAGGTTTTGAGTCATTCTATTGCTGTCTATGTAATATGAGAATTTTGTGGATTAACACACAATAGCCAAAAATAGAAGTGATTACTCATAGTCCTATGCCTAAACAATGCATTTCTTGTGTAGTAAGATGAATGTCTGTGACATCTGGTTAGGTAAGAATCAAAAGAAAAAAAGCGTTGTGTGAGGCATGCATAAGCAGTGCTGTCAACTCATAAACATGAAATTAGAAAAGATAAACTACAACCGTTCTTGGTATATCGATCACAGATTCAGCCTGTATGAATTTAGCGTCTTTTTGTTTCTCTCTCTCTCTATGTTGACATGCATTATTAAGTGCTTTTATACATTTTTAGCTGTGAGAAACACAAAGAACACAGGTCATCTGGCTTGTCTACGTCTGTGTATGTGTGTTGGTGTGATGAACTGTCTGTCAATCAAGTCAAACTTAATTATTTCATCGCCCCGCTGGGTGTGAGTGTGTGTCAGGAACTCTGACCTGGAGACCTGGGGTTAGAACACACACACACACACACACACACACACACACACACACACACACACACACACACACACATACTGTATATACATATATATCCACCACCCTTGTTTTTCCAAGGATGGCCCATTGGCCACTTTGCCGACCAGGTAGTAAGTCAATTATATTTGTGTTTGTACGTATTTGTGCACACACACTTTGCAGACTAGAGATTGATCTTTGAGTTACCTACTGTATCTATGATTAAATGTAGAATATTTCATTAGTTTGCACATGTTTTTTGAATCCCTACACTGTGCAGTAAATGGAGGGAGTTAGCACTGACTACTAGAAGGATTTTTTTAGCAACCTTTAAAAAACAACCGCATATTCGGTGAAAAGTACAAAAACGTGTGCGCAATCAAATAGAGCTTACTCTGCATAATCTTTTTTTTTTTACATATCTTTACGTATCTTTAAGTGAATATTGTGATATAAAGAACTTCAACATTCAAAAAAATGTTCTTCAGTTCTCCTGTGAGTGATTGCATGTGTGCGTGTGTGTGCGTGTGTGTGCGTGTGCATGTGAGAGATGAAATGAGTGGAGACTGACAGGGGCAGGACCCCTGGGAGATCAAGTAATCCTGCTTGCAGCACAATGGCCACCCCTGGCCTAGAGTCCTTTCTGTCAGACCAGTGGAGGCAGGGGACAGACAATAACACAATAACACGCTCCCATGTTTTACTGGCTGGTTAAGTCAGCCTGTGTGTTTGTCTATAGTCAGTTTGTCTGTATTTCAGACTTACAGGATTGATTGCTTTCAACTTGCAAGAACAGAACATTGCATACGCAAATTGTTCACCATACAGTGAACAGACGCTCTGTGCCTGGTTAACACTTTTTACTGTCTTTCATATTAAAAAAGGAAATGATCGATTTTATGCTAAGATTTTCTCTAGCTACCTCCAAAATAATTGTAATATCCCTCACTGTGTTTGTTACCCGGTTTCCTTCTCTCGAGCTCAACGGTTGGTCATCTTTCCCAACAGAGCAGCAGAATCTTTGCCTTCTGAAAAACATTTATTGTACAATGACCTTACTGACCAACATTAATTATCTAACCTAAATCATCAGCACCAAGCTGGTCGGCTTGAACAAATCTTAGCAGTATGATCTAATACACAGTGCCTCTGTGAATAAACAATAACAGAAATCCCCTCTTTTAATCACATCCAAACCCAAAACTCTGCTCTTCATTTTCCCACAGGAGAGAAATAAAAGCTTGCACAATAAAAAGCACCTATATGTGTCTGGCTCCATAAACTCCTCCACATTTCACATTTGTAAACTTAATTGATGGAGAGTTCCAAGAGAATGAAAATTAAAACACTGTCACCTTGTTTTTGAAGATGAAAGATGCCGAGTAAAAGAGAAGTGAGCCAGGTTTTATTGGATTAGCAACCGACACAATCGCATCGGTGCAGATTTGCCTCTGTGCTCTAAATGTGATTGTGGGCAATAACATGTCGATTAAGGGCTGTTGCTGGACTATTGGAGGCTTTGTGTGAGTCTGCAGAGGAGGTGATTGGATTAGTGAGGGCCGGAGTGGGAAGCCTGAGGATGAGGGAGTGAATACCGATGAGAATGTCCAGAAGTATCCCCTCGGAGAAGTAACTTTTTTACACATATTGGTTTTGCTTCAAAATCATCAGAAAGAATGAGGAGTTATTTTATTGTCGTTGTTTTGTAACAAATGACTGTTTACATCTGTGTTTAAAGACAACCTTATTTTGCCTATGCTGCACTAATCGAGTTATACGTTTTTCCTCTTGTTTGCTAGCAACAAGCACCATTCTGCAGAGAGGAACAGAGGCCCATAACTGTTCAGAGAGAAATACAGTTCCAGTCCTGCAGAAAGTTCCCATCTTCAACCCCTTTGTAAGTCATACCACTT